AAACTGTGGTTGGAAAGTGGTAATTGGAGTGGCTGGAAGAAACCCTTCGCCCAGGGGTGGACACACACACACACCAGATATTGCGTACTGGACTGAGTGCCGCATGCCACACGCCCACCTAGGTATGCACGCCTAAGAGTACAGGAATAGATGAAACCAAGGTTCCACAAATCGAGAGTCGCAAAGTCTGCCGACCTACCTCCACCTAAACAGCCTGAAAGTAGAGTGGGATGTAGCTATCAACATTCACAACTGGAGCAGGTACGTCACGGTGATCAGCCGTGATATCCACATGTACTGTGGCCGCTTCGTTGGACCATCGCGCACAGTACCTGCTAAAAGTAACAAATCAAATACAAATTCAAAGGAATCCCTGTGACTCCAAGGGGGTCACAGACACACACACACACCCTCTTCTACAACTTTTTCTACACACTTCCCCCCTTAAAACACTGCTACGTACTACGTACACCTGAAAATTACACCGCCAAGGCCCTCCACAAACAAACTGAGGAGTAGTATTTATGGTTTCTAGTGAGCAGGGGGTTGATGATGCAAAAAGTATAAGTCTAACTCAGTCTAGCATCACTCGCATCATCTAAGTATTTTGGGGGGTACGCTCTCCTCCAGCTCTGATGCTCTCGTGGTTGACCATCTGTGTGGTCATGTATGCTGATGTGTGGTGACGCTTGGGACTGCACACATGGTCCTCTATAAACAATGGTGTGCCTGCCACACATCAAAAGGTCTTTGGCACCTGAAGGTAGAACACGCCGTCGTCGGCAAGCAAACGATGCACCTGAAAGCAAGTGCTGGCTCAAGTCAGGCGAAATGGGGAACGGAATTGGAATAAGGGTTCTACTTGCATGGCATGCGGTCCTTGCATCAAAGCTTGAAATGGTTGTCGTCTACATGGAGCATATGACTTGTTCCTGTTGCAGTTGGTGGATCTGCTTTCAACCAAGCAAAAGCTGCCACCTGCCCACCAATCCGCCAAGCCAAGGATGACATCACTCCGGTGCCTTTCGCAAGAACTTGTTGTAGTTCCTCGGAGAGCATACGTCAATGAAGTCAGGAAAACAAGGAACCTTCCGGAGACAAGCCACTACCCAACCTTTGTGTGAATTGTCTGTCTATTTGTTGTACTCATCCTTGTTTGATGAATGGTGGTACACCCCAACGCTGCTGCCGTTGCCCAAAGTGAAGGGCCTGACGAGGAAGGAAGCGGAGAGCCTTTGAAGGTGAGCTGGTCTTGTTTATGTCTTTCTTCAACTGGTTCGTTCTGGTTCATGCATTGTGATCATTGTAGCATATTGTAGATTAAATCCAAAAATGTCTGCAGCACCCAGCGGGCCATGCCTTGCAAAAGAAACCCTAAAACCCTGGAGTCCAAACCATAAACCTTGCACTCCTTTTATCTCAAAACCTTATATATATATATATATCGGTCCTGAAATGGTGTCCTCAGGTCATTCCCGCCATACTGCCCGAAGACCAATGTGCAAACGAGGCTCCGGATACCGACATGCTCGGCCATTTCGACGGAAGAGATGACATTGAAAGACTTGTCCTTGGAAGCAGTGCTCCCAAAGAGACGCAAAGCGCGAAGTGACAAATCTACAGTAGATCAAGTCAAGTCTCACTCCGCAACCCTTGAACCCTGAGCGTGTCTCTTCAAGCGGCCACCAGCCGCCTAGACTCCAGACCCCAGGGGAAGATTGCCTCATGCCAAGATCTTAGTCGAGAGGCTGGCAACTGCAGGTCAAAAAAGTTTTTGAGAACAATGTCCACATTCTCGCCATTGCCCAGCTGACTGCCTCACAAAGGGCACAAACGATCAAGTGGACGAGATGGCCCTTTGCGGTATCAAGGCACACTACAGGAAGGCGGCCCATGTCAACAGAGGATGGCCAAGGTAGTGGGTGTTTGTTGGTGTGCAATGTGTCAGCTTGTCTGGTGTCAATCTTGAAAGCTCCAGACCCGACATCTTCAATGCACACCAATCTCTGGAAGCCTCTTGTGAAAGAAAGGACTGAGGTTGAAGTCCTACTGAAGGATACTCGATCTTGGGCTCGGCTCATGTGAAAAACAATTCCATCTCCATACTCGCTATATTGGGACCCTAGTGAAAACCTGTGCACAGTTGGGTTCTCATCTGGTGTTTGCTTCTCTCCTGGCCAAAACACTCATTCGCTTGGCATAAGCTTGCTGATCAGAGGACATGGTGACGCCTGGCTGAAGTGAGCAAAACAGCTAAGGCTAAAAATGAAGGCAGCCACATTGGAGAGTCCTCTTCTTAATGGCCTTTCTGGATTTTTGGGATGGATCTTCCTGGTTGGACAAACGCTGTAAAACGTGTGTGTATCTGCAAGTAGCAAAAGAAAAGAAAAGAGGGAAGAAAAATTAACTCCCAGATGTGTGGCTCTTAGTTCAGTTTTGCAGCATGAGATGCAAAGCTCAATCCACGCTACGAAACAAAGGAGTTGTGCATTCAGGTAATGTTTCAGAATGATTCTTCACGCGATCATGTTTCTATACGTGAGATGGTCAGATTGTCCCTTCTAAAGTTTGGCGTACGTCAAAGAAATGTCTTACAGCAAGCGTTCTTCAAGGAAGCTTCCCGAATCAACAGGTCACAAAAGGAGAGTTGAACTTTGTCGAATGCTTTTCTTTGTGCTTGGTTGGTAGGGCTGCGTCCGTTTGAGAAGAGTGCTCTGAGGTGGCAAACTTCTCTTTCAACTTGTTCTGCTTTGGACCCTTCATTGTTCCGCTCGCCTGTCACCTTGGCTCCCTTGCTGGCAAGGTAGTTGGAAAGTCCTTGGTAAGGTGGCATCTCACTCGAGGACTTGCACACGACGAGCTACCGACACTTTGACCATCTTTGACCCTTTACTCGGGGAGCAAGAATGATCGGGCAAGCATGAGCACACCTGTCCAAGACATCAAACAACTAGCATTTGGGGGGCTCGACAAGACCTTCAATGCTGCCCAGGCACGGCCCCAGCCACAGCCAATCTCAAGGGCCTTTGGGTTGATGGGCTTTATTCAGGGCGCTGTGAGTCTGGGTATGCGTTTTTCGTTCTTTCAGGCATTGCAAAATACTCAAGTAAATTCGTGTCAGGGTTGTCCAAACCCACTGGTCAATGGCACGGAGTTGGTTGGGAAGGAGTTTCAATACAGTAATTGTCCTCTCAATCAAGTTGTCCAGGTTGTCCGGAAGTCTATTCTTGAGGGATTTACTACAACCCCATCTGTTTCAATATCTGCCAGCGACTTCATTGTTCATGAAATCTCTTACAAAGCGACCGTGAACCAGTCCAACTCACTTAAAAAGGGGAGCAGTTTTTACTTTGAAAAATGCATCACCAAACTTCTCACCACAATATTAAACCACCAAAACAAGTCAGGAATTGACTCTACCTTCTGCATGGTTTGAATCATTTTCCAGGTTTGCTTTGTAGACGGCTTTCAACATCCCCTCTGGTGCACTTCTTTTGCCACGCCTTGTCTCCTTTCTTTACGCCCAAGCCATACGCGATGAACTCCAGCCTGAGGAGTTGTGCACAACAGGTAAAGTCTCAAGCCCTGCCGGATGAAAGTCTCGAGCCCAAAACATTGCCGACCTCTTGGGCTACTCTCTCGTGCACTCTGTCAGTCATGGGACAAACCCGGCCACAAATGCCACAAGGGGCGAATCAAATCCAAGCTCAGACTCAACTGCAGTCAAGCTGTTGGAACCTAAGCTTCCAGCTTCTTCTGCTGAGCAGACCACACAGATTCGTTCTGACCTGCACCCCATCCAGCTCACAAAGGAGCAGCACAAGGAACGCAAATGTCAGTATATAATAACAGTGAATAACAGATTTCATGTCACTGGGGCATCTGTTGTAATGAAATCTGTTAGTCATCCCACTGCAAATCCACAGGCAGCCTTCGAGTTGGCCTGACTTTCAAGACGAGGGTCAGCTGTTGTCGTCGGTGTAGGACGGTAGATGGTCGAAGCAAGCAAGCAGGCAAGCAAGCAAGCAAAGCAAAGCAAAGCAACGCAAGGCAAGGCAAGGCAAAGCAAGGCAAGCAAGCCCTTTTTCAAGTTAGAGACACTTGCATGCCAAGGATTGAGATAGACAAACTGTTTAAAACCCCCCACCGTGGTCCGCACTCCTACACCCCCAATGTCAATGTTGTGTTGTAACTTTGCGAATTGTGGGCTTGGCTATTTGGGAGCAAAAGGTTTCTTTGTCAAAAGGCTTGAATGCTCCGTCCATTAACGGATAGCAGGGGAGCTGAGTGCAAGTTTTTTGTGAACATTGAAGAATTAGGATGCATTTTGAGGAGAACCGCCACAAAGCATGTTCGGCATGTCTCAATCTGCCGATACTGTACAGACTAAGGAAATCTTTCAAGGCTAAGGCATGTGTCCAACATGCTTGTTCCATTGCTTACATGATGGAAAACCAATGAAACTTTGTGAAGGCGCTATTGTGTGTGAAGCATTCTTCTCCTTCCTCACCCGACCCTCGCCTGGGGCGTAGAGAGCGCCGGTGTAGACCATAGGATCGGCCAAAGTGGCCTCGAACCAGTCATCACCCTTATTGTAGGCCTCGCAGCGGCCGGTCGGAGGCACTTCAAGTCTCAAGAAGCGGAACCTGCTGGCATTTGTGGCACAATATCCTATTGTAGATTGTTCAATTGCAAAGAGCACAAGCTGAGACTAGTATCGTTTTAATGTGTTTGTTTAAAATATTTGTTGCAACGTCTTCCTGAAGTCGAGTGGTCTGGCCATCAAACGACATCAAAACGTACCTGCAAAACATTGTCGCGTGAGCTGCCAAGTCTCCCCTCACCTCTGGCAGATAGTCGGCATCCTGGTCAGTGTCGTGAAAAACCTGAACGTGAAGCAAAGGGCCCAAAGGGCCAAACTGAGGCACAAATGGATGCGACACAATCAGAACAGCAACACACAATATGAATCCTTCGGGCTTGGAAAATACTTCGCATTCTGAAAGCCCAATCTGGGCCACGAAACATGCTTGGGGCATGAGACATGAGAAGCACAGCAAAGCGAGATGCAACTTTAGATTTGGTATCAATGATCCATGGCCTGTCCACTGGGGTCTGCTTTGGGGCGCGCTCTCTCTCTCTCTCTCTCTCCCTTCCACCAAATAGCCACATGTGTTGCAATTGGGGGAGGGAGTCTATAGAGGGAAGCTCCGTGTATTGGCAGCTAGCATCTATATGTTTTTTCCTCGGACAGCAGGAATCATTTAGACAGTGTTACTTGAGCCAACGCACCCGTGATTTGCATTCGTAGGGTCCGTAATGATCTGGAAGAATGATATTGACATCTCCGCAAAATACAGAGCTGTCCGCCCTTTTCTTGCCGCTGAACAGCATCGTCAAATCGTCGAACAATCGAAGTACTCTTGCGACCGAGTGGCACTTTTCCCCAGCCAGGTGTTTAAGTAGCGGAAGAGCTCGATCTTCCCAAAAACTGGAGGGTACTTCTTGCCTCGACTTGGCCAAATCGCTACTAGGAACAAGAAGCTACTAGGGGCTCCTGGCCTTACTACTAGGAGCATTCTTGCTACTAGTAACAAGAAGCTGGAAGACTTGGAGACTCTCTTCCAAGGCTTAGGCATAGGCAAAAGAAATTGGATCGAGCTTTGAAGCTGGTGCACTAGACGTTCAGTGATCAGCTGTGGAAGGACGGAAGGTGGGAAGCAAAAGCACTCCAAGAGCTCTACAGTATCAATCCTTCCTCTGCCTATCTTCCGCACAAAGCACACAAATACAGGGTCTTGTAAGTGCATCCAGGATGGCCCTGCTTGGCAACTGATCCAGGATCTTGGGTTCGGACCCTCTAGGATTTCTTCTAGGTTGCCTTTGCCGGTAGTTATGTAGTCCTGCAGGATCAAGCGAGTGAGTCTTAATGAGTCTTAATGGACTGAATGGAGTGATTCTACATTGTACATGCTGCAATGCATTCCATCGAAAAAGCATGTTCCCTCGAACCTAGACTCATTGGTTCATTGTCGCGTCCTCCAATGCTTCTCGCAAGGAGGGCATGTTCATGTCGTAACCTTCGGCCTCCGACAGTCAGCTTTGAAGGTCCAAAACAACATCTGAGCAGCTTCGAAAACCCCTATTACTTTTTTGTATAATCCAGGTTTGCTTTCGCAAAGCTTTCGCGGAGCTTTCGCGGCCTGCATTCTGGCTTTCGCGGAAGGTGTGGTGTTATGTGGGGCTTTCGCGGCGGCTTTCGCGGCGATTCGTTTTCGATTGGGAAATTCGATTGGGATATTGTACAATAAAGTGATTGATCTATATAAGTTATCCGATATAAGTGTCCTTAGGGTGGTCAAAACTGAACAAATTTCTTTCCGGCAACATCCTGGCACAAGGAGTTGTAGCAGCACCGTTCAAGTATTATTGTTGTCATCAGAAGAGGAGGAAAACTTGCTGAAACTTTTTGCTGGGGCCAGATACCTTTCCCGGATATGTTCGACTTTCGCGGTTCTTTCGCGAGGCTTTCGCGCGGGTTTCGCGGAAATTCATCTGGGCTTTTCGATTTTCCCCTGAAACACTTGCTCTTCAGCGCTGCTGCTGCTGCTGGCTGGTCTGCTGCGGCTGCCTGCATAAAAATATAGTCACCCACATAAACAACACGACATGCACAAGAAATTCGACTTTCGCGAAAGCTTTCGCGACGCTGTTCTTCTGGGGTTCTTTCGCGGGGCTTTCGCGAACCTTTCGCGACCTGCGTTTTGGCTTTCGCGAAAGAATGTGAGATTACAGTTTGCACACTTTTCATCATAGAGGTTCTTGAAGCTGCTCATCTTGGCTCAGCCCACCTACCACCCAGTACCAGCCGTCCGAGATTAGTTCGTAGCACTGCCAACCCGCACTCAAATATATTACGTAAGCATTCTTTGATGTATCGATCTCATGCTGACCTTTCTACAAAGGTACTCCAACAAAACCATGCACGAGACCGACCGGCCTCAGCATGCCAGCGTGATTCCATGATCGCCAAGCCGCACAGTGTCGCAAACCTGGGCTGGGTTTGGTGGAAAGCTCGTGCAATCGAAGCCTAAAAGGAGAGCCAGGCCCAACTCGCAAGACAGGCGCCTGATGTGAAGTGTAGCGCAGTATAGTGTAGTGTAGAATCCAAACGTAAGGCCTACAACCCTTACAACCGTTGGAAATGTCTTGCTTGCCAGTGTTTCCCTTCATTGACTGATTTCCACCCACGCACTGAGGGATCAAGATCGCACTGTGAACGGATGCAACATGGATCTGGCTCACGCATCCGCTGACCCGACAACCATGGGTCGTTTCCGATCCTTGAAAATTGATGAAATGTGTGTGTGTGTGTGTACTGCACATCGGTATCATTGTATATCCCGTTCGCCCAAGACATCGCTCACAATGCTTGGCACCGGGGAGCGTCAAGACCGGCAGCACCAAAACCTCATCATGTTGTGTCGATGGACGAACCCACCAATGGAGGAAAAGCCCAGGTGGTTGGATAATGGTCGAGAAGAACTATATAGACTAATTATGTACAGTAAGTGGTTGCATTCGTAACCCTGATACAGGTAGAGCAACTTAAGATATCATCTAGCTGAGAATTCCGAGATTGCAAAGATGCCCCTGAATGGTCTTTGGCATTATTTGCAAGACTCCGTTGTCTCCTTGCCTGTTGCAACCATCAATAATCATTTATGTATATACTGTATATATATATATATAATCATTCAAGTGAAAAGTTGAGCTGCTGTTTTGACCATGTCAAGTTTCAAAAGCGATGGTGGGGATGGACCTTGAGGGGCTGACCAATCCGTGACACTTGCTGCTCTGGCAGATCCGAAACACATCTTGTTCAGTGTGCTACTGCCAGCCCTCTGGGGGCTGGGCACAGATTCGAAACGGTCGGCGGACCATGGTGGCGAGCACGATGAGGCAAGCGATCATGTGTGGCATGTACCTGATGTCAAAGATGGATCAAATGGAAATGCCTTGCATGCAGCATAAGTATCAATACAATCCCCCCTTGCAGTCCAGCAGGGATTGTCCTTGCGGGTTCTGTTGGGTTCTCAGAGAATCTGCTGTGCACCCCAGATATGGTCTCCCTACCCAGGAAAGGCCTACGACAGCTGAGGGCAAAAGATTGGATCGATGCCAAACAAATTTCTGAAGGGTAGATGGACCTGTGTTCACCCGTTAGAGCTGGAACTTAGATGTGATTCAGAAACCTGCTAGTATTCATGTTCTGTTGATAAAATCTGGGAATTGAGGCTCACCCTTCTTTGCAAGACAAACCCATGGAAAAAAAAAGAAGTTTCTGCTGTCTCTGTGATCACATGTCAAACTGGCAAGGTGGCGATGGTTTCCCCCAGTCATGCATGCTCAGAAAGAGTCTGATTGGATTGGACCTTTGATTTTGAGGACCTTTCAAGGCCATGTTGTCCCATGCTCTACTTCTATCTGACTGAGTTGCATCTGTCTTAGATCCCGACTCATGAGCAAGAGTGCAGGAATGTAAAATAAGGATCAGAAGTTCGAAGATACAGAAGATACAGTGACAAATGGAAAACGCAGGTGTTTCCGCTGTCCTCATGCAAAACGCAGGTTCCAAGTGGCTTGCGAGGTCGCGTCCTAACCTTCGAAAGGAATCCTGGTCTTCGACCAAACACTGTAGAATCCATTGATCTCACGTTCAATGATTGTGCTCCCTTGAGTGAAATTCCAAGGTTCTCACGCTGAAATGAACATCACCCCCTCGAACATGGGGAAGATCATGGTAACCTCCTGGCCACAAGAGAGCATCGTGCACCACGGTGATTCAGAGATGGCATGCCATAGGATAGATTTCCCAGCCAGCCACCCACCCACCCATGCACTCACTCAACAGAATCTGGTCGCAAGTGAGAAACTCATTGCTTGGACAGGAAGAATTTGTGGACGCTGCATTGGAACACCGAGCAACCACCTACTGAAGTTGCAGCATTATATACCATATTCGACCCTTGCTTGCATTGGATGGGCATCGCTGGTATGAGACCAATGTCTGACTCCATATGAATGCTACGTCTGTAGAACGTTTGCATCGCAAAGCTCTTTTTGCGGTGCATTGGTGCACTCGCGTATCTTGCATCCGCGCCTTGCCCGCCATCGCGGGAGGCTTGGATTAAGGCCTGCGTTCATTTGGGAGGCTTGGTGACAAGATGTGACAAGGTCCTTCTGCCAGTTATTGTGGATCTGTTCTGCTTAGATACCCCGATATTAGGGTTTTGAAAGCACCAGATATAGTTCCGTTCCCTAATAATTGGTTTCAGCAGCTCCATGCCACCATGCCAGCTATTCCCCATCAAGGCAATGCCTCTTCACCGCATCCGTCGTTTCAGGTTGTCAGAAGACACCCTCTCCATGTTCAGCATTCAAACACCTTTTCAAAATTCAATTTCATTATATAAAAGTATATGAGAATCAAACTGTTCTGCAGTGTTAGCATCCACACACAAAGCAGTATTGTATGTGGCATGCTTTCCAAAAAGTGGTGACCTACAAATGCACCAACACATCCCAAGACCATGACAAATGCCTTGGAAATGCTAGATGGGTCAGAACAAGCAGGCCGTCGTTGCGCCAGGCCTACGCACGAAATCCTGCCCAAAAACTACTTGTAGTTTCGAACTATTTTGAGCCAAACTGGTGGCAAGGCAAAAATGTGTTCTGATCTTGCAAAGGTTGACATTGGACGGCAAACACCAAGGGAAACAACAGGCTACAGAGCGAAACAAGGACCAATCTATGAAACAAGGACCAATCTATGAGCTAGGACAATGGGGCCTTGACAAACTCCAAAATCCATATCATCTGAAACAGTCTCCAATAACATAAATATCCCTATGACTGTCTTTATATAAAGGGGTGTGAGCAATGATTGAAGTCGGGCTGGATTTCGTCCAAGGTAGGCATTGGGCTTAGGAGTTTTTCACAGTGCAAATGCAATTAGAAACAATACCCATAGGACAGC